TGCTCAAGAGGGCAGGTAGGCAATCAAGGATAATGTACAGAAAATATGTCCTTTTCATAAATCACTGTACATACATGCTATTAATATGGTATCTCAGCAACAACTTGACAACAGATGTAAAATACTTCCTTGGAGAATAGGAGAAACCCACTCCATTTTCATTTATCTCCAGCAAAGGTGCTTAGCATTCAAAGCCATTCTTTACCTAAATTAATTTGCAGTTTAAGTAGAAGTGTTTTTACATGTATATTTACCATTTGTATCAAAGTGATTCCCATAATCGAGGGTGTCTGCCATTTTTTTCTAAGAGTGTTAACAATTCAGTATAAGAACTCAGGTTAATAGGCTGTGTGGTTTAAGATCAGCAATGGTTTCTCCCACTTATGTTGTGTACTGAGTCTCTTGAGGATAAAACGGGTCTGTAAATGGGAAATTAATAATACATTCTGAGTCATTAGTTTGCACCAAAATTGTAATCCTGATTTGACATACAAGTATGTGACAAGGCCTTGGGGGGACTTACCGCCTAGCTTTATCACAGGTAATATCAGTTTCTCCTGGCCCATAAACACATGTGGCAAAGGTGGAGGGTTTTTTTTTTGGTTTTTTTTTTTTTGGTATATGTAATGCTCTACCAATACTTTTTGACTGCTTCCCTCCAACTCGGCTGTCCTTGGATGGAAAGAGAAGGTGATGACAAAGTAGTCCTCTCAAAATGGCTTTCTTTTAATCCTTTAAAAATAGCCTGAAAAATAAGCAAACCAATGACCTTATCACACAGGGGATCCCCTCCCCCGGTGCCATTTTGCCAGCCTCCATGGAGAAATGGTAAGGATGAGGGGTGACACTTCCCTCATCATACGGCTTGATTTGAGCCAGCACAACATGGGAAGGCTCCCAGTTGTGGGTGGTGCCTCTGTCAGAAGTCCATCAACATTGTGTGATGGTATAAAGGTTAGGGGGATTTATATATTACCAAATCCCACAAGATGGCATCACTTATAATGGTTAGGTACTGTGAACAAATCCCAATCACTTGCCAACCACTTGTAATGGAATGTGGCCTATTTAATTAGAAATCAAATGCTGAATAAGTTGGAACAATCTTCTGTCCGGATAACCTTTTAAAAAGACACTGGCTATCACTACGTTTAAAAGAAATGATAAGCCCTTGTCTTGTCTTGAGGTATCTTTATGCTAAAATGTGCTGGATTAGCACTCAGGCTTTGTACTCTGAGGTAACACTGAAGAGATTCTCTTTTTAAAATACACACTGCCACCATTAGACTTTGACTTCTTCTATAAACTGCTTTAAAACTTCTTTCACAGAGGCACACTGAGGCAGTGATTGTGAACAAAGAACAGTATTGTTTATTTGGGAGAACTTCAACAAAACAGGCATTAAGCTTAGCTGTTTCAATGTTGAATAAAGCATATGGTTTCTTTAAATAGTTCAAAACTTAGTTGCACATAACACTCCTTTCTCCCCCCAGAACCTACTGACAAGATTCCTCTCTGCCTAGTAATCCTAAACTCCACACAGACAGTCCTTCCCCTTTTGGATCTATCTCACTACTCCACCAGCTACCTTTCCCAATAGCTATAATCTTCTCACTAACTAACTCTGCTGACTAACTGACCAACTTAAGGCTGCACTAGCTCTTCTCTTCTTCACACATACTCTCTAACTCCTCCTTCTTTGACACACAGACCCCAACTCTTTTTTCTTTGACACATAGACCCTAACTGAGCTGTCAGGTTTTAAAACACACCCTTAAATACATTTTTTATCAAGTTAAGCTCCGCCCATTCTCTCCCAGCCAATCACAAACTCCCCTCATTTCCCTCCAAGCTGCTCCTAAGTACGCCCCCTCCAGGAAATGAGATTCTAAGATGGATGTGCCCAGCCACCCTTCTAAAATATCTGCTGAACTTCCTGGGCCTACTTTTCTGAGCTTTTCCTAGCCTAACAGATTGGGAATTCACCACAGATGGTATCACAATTTTACATGTTACATCCTTTCAGGGACATTTCAGAAATGGATATTCCTCTTTCTTTTGGGGCAATCACAAGCAACTGTCTTGCCCCGAGCTCAGAATATTCTATGTATATAGCAACTCCCAAATGTCCTGTCAGTAAGGACTCTGGGAGTTGTAACCAAAACACTAACCTCTTAAAGATCTAACTTAAGCTAGATTGACTGTGTTTACCAGAACTGGAGATCTGTCCTCCATCATGGAGTCACCATGAAGCAAAACAACTTGCTCCAGAGTGTCTCCCATCCCCTCAAAACAATACTTAGTGAAGAGATTTGTCAATTTTGGGGAAAATAGTGGGTTCTAACTTGCTTACCTAACTGGATCCTGGGACTGAAATTTAGAAACAGTTTGACTACTGAATTGGATGAGATGAGGTGAGGTGTGAGAGAGAAAGAATGATAGAGGGGGAGAAATTGGGAAAAGAAAGAAAAAGACAGTGCTTCTTGTAAAGGCAGGAGTGGCAGCAGAAGGGTGGGAAATGTATCTGGGCTGGTTTCAAAACTTCTTAAGAACAGGATGCTTCTATTATCCCTGGGCCATCTCCCCTATATTTTCAATTTATCACTGTGTCTTGGAGCTGTTCCATCTGAGTGGAGCAAAGTCAAGTTACCTCTTTGCAGAAAAGGAAGCGAAACGAGTCCATTCCGCTGGTTTTTATGGAGCTGCCTAACTTCATTTAGCTATTCCTAATATCACCATATAATATTTAATATTTCAGGTTAAGCTGAGGATTCTTTATTGGAACATTTGGTTTCACTGGATAGTTTCTCCTGCCTTGAGGGATAGTAGTGAGGAAAAGTTTACATATGTATGAAAATATTATGGTGGAAATCCTTATGCCTTCAGTTTGGCTAATTATTCATGCATGTAAAATAGCATTCCTAGCCATTTTAGCAAGCTAATTGTACTATTGCGTCAGGGTTTTTTTGTGATTGGAACATTGTAAAATTTTGCAAATCTTTTAGTGTGGATGTTAAAGTAGCTTGTGGGTGGAAAGATAGGTCCAAGAGATTTTAACTTAATCATGCATATGTAACTAAGGACCTCATCAAATGAAAGTGGGAAAAGTGGGGGAAAGCAGAAGGAAATGTCTTTCTTTCATTCCTTACTGTCCAGTCCCATGACTTACTGTGTTCAAGGATGGTAGCCATCCTATGCCTTTTCCCTGCTTCTATCCAGCTTTTCCCACTGAGAGTTGGGTAGAACCCAACTCCTGCCAGTGCAGTCTTTCCTCCATTTCTCTGAACTACCACAATGGAATCCTATGGGCAACCACTAGAAGTGGCCTTGCATCATGTTATGGCATCCATTGGACTCCGTTTTGGCAGTGCATAGAAACAGAGAATACCATGCCTGATAAAATCCTTTGTAGGTGACATAGAATATGGGTCTAAATAAATAAATAAATAAATAAATAAATAAATAAATGAGTTCAGTTACTACCTACAAAATGAAATTTTGATCGATGAGAAGGAGTGGCTGTTGACTGCATGCCCAATGGCTTCGGATTCTGCTTCAATATGATGAAGCAAAAAAACAAAAACAAAAACAAAACAAAAACAAAAACAACCCAACAACAATGCAGTCAAACCATTTTAAAACTTTGTAAATTTAAAAAGAAAAGAAAGCAACTTTAAGAATCATTGTAGAACTATTTAATTAAAGCCAAATAAAGGCCAGGACAAATGCTTACTGAAACAAGAAGAGCCAAGTCTTCAAGAAGTATGAAAAAAACAAATAACAAAGGGCAAGATAAAGGTGAGGAAAGTGCTGTCCTGTGGATTGCTTGCTTCTCTTGCCAAGATTATTTCTGAAACCGCTAAAGGATCTCCCCAATATAGTTGTTTTCAATTTGGTGGTGATGAGGGCCAAAAGTGTAATTGCACTATATTTTTGGCCACTCTTTTCACTCTAGAGAAGTCTTTATGTTATTAGGAAGTAAGTTAGTAATGATTGTCTTGATTGCTTCCTGATTAACCAAAGCCCTCTTCTGATCTTAAAAAATAGATTGATATACTAGATGCCCTTATAGTCTCTTCCTTGTGTTTCTATGATTCTAGAAGGCAAAAATGGTGATGAAATTGCTCCTACCTTCAGAGGTTAGTTATAAACTTTTTGGTAAAAGTTGTGGTGGGGAACCCTTAAAATACATGTGATGGTGGAGCTCTCCAAGTTCCAAACTCCATCTGTTGCATCACATTGTTGGCTTATGTTCAACTTGGGGTCGACTAAGACTCCAAGATCTCTTTCACTGTTGTCAAACCAAGTGTATCTCTGTATCTTTATGTTTCATTTTTCTGTCTAAGTATAGTATCCTGTGTTTTTCCTTGTAAAATTCATTTTATTAGTTTTGGCCCAGCTCTCTAATTTGTTAAGGCCATTTTGAATTATGATCCTGTCTTCTGGATTATATTATTATTATTTATTTCTTTATTTCGAACATTTTTACCCCACCCTTCTCAACCCCTGGGGGGACTCAGGGCGACTTACAATTGGCAATAATTCAATGCTGCATCATAAAATACAGAATAACAAATATAACAATTAAACATGAACATTAATAAATAAAGATTAAAACAGTATACTTACACTTTGATTAGCTATTGCCCATCTAGTGGCTGTTTATCTAGCCATCTACTAATGATTACTCTGTTTAACTTATCCAAATCCTCTTCCATGCCATAGTCAAACATTATCAATTGTCCTTTAACCTAATTGCCCAAAGGCCTGGTCCCACAGCCATGTTTTAACCTTTTTTCTAAAGGTGAGGAGGGATGACGATGACCTAATTTCCCCGGGGAGCAAATTCCACAGTTATCCTTTATACAATTAGCTTTCTAAAATGGCTAGGAATGCTACTTTACATGCATGAATAATTAGCCAAAGTGAAAGCATAAGAATTTCCACCATAATAGTTATTAGTTATCCTTCCAAATTTAGTGTCATCTGCACACTTGGTATAATAAAGAAAAATATACAGGCTTTGATAAGAGATACAAACCTGCAAGAAGAAGCTTTTGTCCCAAATGCTCTCTCAGGGGGAGGGCAAAGTACAAAACTGAACAAAGAAAACTTTTAGAAGCAAGATAGAAACAACTGGAGTTCAGTACACTTGGATTCTCCTTTGGATCTGGGGTGGTATCTCCAAAACACACAACACAAACAAGTGGAATTATATGATCTTTAAAAGACATTCTCCTCTGATGCTATAGCCAAAAGTGCTCTTGTTGTCTAGGGAAGGGTTCCATTAGGAATGAACAAGCTCTTCTCCTTCAAATGATCCACAATACTTTAGCTTTAGTGTTCTAGATGGTCAGTTTGCTACTGACTTCCAGTCAACACCAAGAAAGGAACATGATGTTGTTAAAAACTTCAGTTCCAAATGTAATCTTTCAGCTTCCCCTCCTCGGCAAGAGAAAAAATAAGCAAGGTGTGTTGATCCTCTGTGAATCTGTGCAGAAGAAAAATCCCATGGGAAGGAGAACATGAACATCCAAAAACTCTGGTACTGAGAAGAAAAATRGCTCCCTCACCCCTTCCACTAAGAAGCCTCAGCACAGAATAAWTCRGCATCTTTGCCATGMTGCCCTCAGGAACAAGTCACAGGCTAGAGAACTTGCAGGCAACATGARATGCTTTAAGGACTCCAAGGGAGCTGTTCTCTATGTAGCACCAAGGGACAGGCTTATAAGAGCTTGGTTTCCATCAGTTCCCTCTACGCTGAAAAGCTGGGGCAAGAGTCGCAGTCTACAAGAGGGAATCAGTCTGTCTTTCCATGTTCTTAGGTCTCTTTGAGAATGTTAATCTTAGCGCAGATCTTGAGAGCAGGGCCCAGTTTGATATTCATGGCACTCATGAGGTGCTCTTCCTTCAGAAGGAGGAGGGCCTGACCATCAATCTCCTGAGAGCGAAACTCCTCTGCAATCTCCTGGCAACCTTGTAGGGATGCAATAAATTCATACACTTCCTCTACACTCCAGCGGCTGGGATTGCTGGATAGGAAAACTGGATTGATGCCATGGAGGTCAGGGATAGGTTGAATCATATTTGAGCTGCCAAGGTCCCGGTCACCGTGACTGGGCCTCACTGAAAGGGGTCCTGGGGACGTAGGGGACAGAGCTTCATCATAGCTGGAGTTATCGGATCCTCTACTTGAATCTTCTTGGCCCCTGTGACGTTTGCCCTGGATCTTGGCTCGAGCAATCTCTGAGCTGCTGCGCCAAGGTCCACGTCGCCGACGGGCATAATTTGCTTCCTGGAGTTCTTTCATTTTCTTTCTTTGCAGCCGAAGTTGGTGACTGCAGCCCACATTGTACCTCTTGGCACATGTTACAGAACAAAATCTCTTAGAACCACGGAACTGATTGGCCGGGCCATATTTTCCACAGAATTCACATTTCAGCAGGTTTGCTTTCTTGTCTTGTTCTGCTGTTACACTTTCCCCTCCTGGAGAGTTGCTAGACTGGTTCACTGGGTAAGCGTGCCCTCTATCCTTCATCAAAATATTTATTTATCATATTAGTTTGGGGCAAAGCAGGATTTTCTTGCTTTGTCTCAAATTAATTTGGTTTTACCAGAGATATTGTTTAGATGCCTCCAGTAAAACCACGGGAGCTCCCACATTATGGGCCCTATCTGGATGACCATAACCACACTGAGTCCCCTAGGCTGCCCTGCTAGATCTCAGTGTTAATGTCATTTTTGTGCTTATGGCCAAGGGGACATAGTCAGATGCTTCTCTCAATCTGCCTACTTGCTGAAAAGCATAGAATAGCCACATGGAATGGCTTTGGGGGCTTTCAATACGTTGTGAGAGAAGCTTTGGATGCTGCACAGGGAAGGAGGGAATACCAACCCTTGCAACAGCCAAAAATGGATTTCTGCATGCTTAAGACTTTAAATATAAAATTCTGCTGTTTAAAATGATGACTTGGCCATAAGCTGTGGGCTGTTTCAACTTTGTTGTTGTTCAAACATTATGCTAGGTTTACAGATCTCTATTTTCCAGTTATCCCTCATCAACATTTAGAACATTGCAAATTCTGCAAAATGAATTTTCATAATCTGCCTCTGAAAGGAAGTTCATCTCCCTTAAATTAAAGCTATGCTGGATCAGATGTTCCAAGTGGCAGATGTTTTCAGATCTTTTTTTTCCCCTACAGGATGGGAGCTGCTTATTTTCCACAATGAGGATTACATCATTCTGAATCCCAGAATTAACACACTTAAACTCATTGATTTGACTTGATTCAAATCTTCAAGACACAGTGGCTATATATTTCTTCTAATATCAGAGACTGCATGCTGGGAAATGCAAACAGAACACACACTACTTGAACTGATATCTTGCTCAATAGTTTTCCACATTAGCTGCAGTGAGGCCAGAATGCCTTTGGTCTGAGTCAGTGTGGCTTGCCTTTTGTCCTTATGTACCTGTGACTCATTTATAAATGAATGAATTAGCTCAGTGAATTGTCTGTAGCATTCTTCATAAACCTTTGGACTTTAAAATCTGGTATTGGATTTAAATATATAAGGAAGATAGACAAAGAATGGCACAGTGATATGAGCATTAGTCTATGACTAGGGACCATCAGGTTAGGTGATCTTGCACAGTCACATTATCTTAGCCTTGGAAGAAGGCAAAGCCAAACCTGCTCTCAACCAATCTTGCAAAGAAAACCCTGGGATAGGTTCACTTTAGGTCACCAAAAATTGGGGAAAAACCAAAAATGAGAGAGAGAGAGAGAAGAGAAGAGAGAGAGGATATACAGGAGCATGTATAAGCTGTGCCACTGATCCAATATTAATTTCTGCTAGTGAATTGCAATGATGAACAATAAGACACTTGTTGTACAGTGTGAGCTATAACAGAATACATTGTGCATTAAGATGAATTATGCATTGGGATCATTTTGTAGTGGCTCCATTTCTATAAGGATCCTGATGGTGTAGCTGCATCTCTTTTCCCCTGTTTGATAGTGCAACTATTGTGCAATGGTGCAAGTCAACTTTTCGTGATTGCAAGTCAGTTAACAATGATGTAACTTCCCAACAGGATGCTAATCAGTATATTTCTCAGCTTGAGTATCTTAGAAGGCACAACCAATATATCCAAGCACATAACACATCCCCTCTCCTAATTTTTCAGGTTTTTAAAATTGGTTTACTCACGCATTTTAAGTAGTTAACCAAATCCCCATGCCAAGTCTATGAGAAGAAAAAATTAGAGTTTATCCAGAACTGCAAGTGCTATCGCAACCAAATTTTGATCATTTATTTCCAATATCATTATCTACTTTTCTGCTAAATTACACTGCAATAGCTGCAATAGCTGGCATAATGGAAGCAACCATGTTCTCACATCACAGATGCTTAATCAACATTTTTGACAGGAGGATGATGTAATCTGCTGAAACTGACACCAGAATTGGAATCCCCAGGTTAGACTCCATAAGAAAAACTTACATTTAAATAAATGTATGATATTTCCAGGCATATAACTATGATTATTTGTGCTTGTTTTAAAAGTCTATACTTTAATTTCTCCAAAACTATCAAGTATTTTTGAATAACTAGGTAACAAATTAAAGGAACTTTATGTAGTTTATAAAATGTAATATGTGAGGGTCAAAGATCTTGATTTTTAGATATTCCAATTTAAAGTGAATATATATGTATAAGAGACCTTTCAAAATGTTATCTCTCTGATTCTAATCAACATTTTTTGTGAAATTTGGACAGAATTATAGATTTAATTATGTAGTTTCATTTGTTTTATCCTATATAATTATCTTTAATAGTTTTTGAAATCTTATTCAAAAACCCACCTAAAAGTAGTCACATCACTGCTCTCTCTTTCAGAACTCTCTCTCTCTCTTTTATCTGCCTTTTTGCTCCTCCCATTGAGGGGTATACAAGAAATCCATGAAAGCCATTCCCAACACAGCTGTCTTACTGTGCTATCTTGAATTGCTGTTCTGAGACTTAAAGACCTGCTAGTGTCTGTTAGTGTTTTCTTTTGTCCACCCAACTCCTGAAGATGCCTGAATGTTTATCAAAGGAGCTAAAAGTTTTTGAGTTGAGAGCAGTATAGAAAAAGGCAAATATTGAAGATCCAGAAGACAGCAGCTGGGACTGATGAAGAACCCAGAACATGCACGTCTGGATTGCAGATGAGAATTGAGGAAACTGAGGTGTCTACCACTGGTTCATCTAATCCAAGCCCTGCCAAAGAAACCATGAAACAGGAGCAAAGATAAGAAACTGTGTCATTGTTAGACTATAGACTTTATATGAACACAACCAAGTGAAAATTCAGTTAGTGGAAAATCCATGGACTCTGTTGTTAGGATAAGTATTTCTTGTGGATAAGGAGAGGCCTTTAACTTTTGAACCCAAATGAGTTCCCTGGTTAGCCTACTCATTTCATGTACAAAGCTGTCCCTCTCCTGCTTTCTGAGTCTGCTGAAGTGCTGCTAAAGCACAAAGGGGCAAGAAAGACTGACTGGACTTGCACTGTTGAGTGTCCACCAAAGATGACCGATGGAGCCTGATTTCTGTCAAAGTGTATTGACACAGTTTTCAAGTGTTTCCAGCAGGTGTTGCGGTATTCTTTTGTAACCACTAAATTACCAATTTCAGGGAGTTTTAGACTTGAAACTTTGTAGCGAAAATAGAAATTGGTTTTAATTAAGTCTATATAAAATATAGAATGAGTCATCACTCTCTGTTTCAGAGTGTGGTGGAAGCTCCTTCTTTGGAGGCTTTATAACAGAGGCTGGAGAGCCATCTGACAGGGGTAGTTTGATTGTGCTTTTCCTGCATTACAGAGGGTTGGACTAGATGGCCCATGTGGTCTCTTTTAACTCTATTATTTTATGATTCTATGATTCTAATTTAAATTATTTTGTGTTATAGACCTACTCTTCATGATATGTTAAGAAATAACCCCCCCCCCTTTTTTTTTTTTTTTTGGCTAAAAGCCTAGATACATCCAACACAGCAGGAGTAGCGGAGGCACCTAGAGCTAATGGCCCATACATGGGCACCACTAGGGTTTGTAATTGTAGCTGTTGCCATACTGTGCCAGAAGTAAATGCAATCAAAACAGCAATATTGAAAACAGCAATAATTATTTATCTGGCCCTGAAAATCCCACAGTGAGTCCATCTGCTACATGGAAAGGGTTTTCTTGTCTTTTTCAAATTAGAATCACTTACAGGTCCACAGAGTTAGTTACTGTAGCTTTGATCAGTGCTGGCATTTTCTGAGATATACCGATAGGGATATAATAAATGCAATAAATAAATAATTGTGCTATTAAGACAAATGAATTTTAAAAAGCCAGCTCTTATCCAGCATATTATCAATCAATCCTCTTCCAAATAGATACAGACTTTAGAAATGAAAGCATTACTACTACTCTATACACTCGGGGTGGACTGAATATTCAAATATATATGAGAAATAGCTGAGAACTACATTTTGCAGAGGTTGTGAATAGCATGAGCAGGATTAAAAAGAATCATTGCAGTTTGGCAATTATGCAAAATTTGTGTATAAAACAATATTTTCTGCAAAAAAAAAGTATTTTTACTGCATCCAATTCTTCACCACAACTGAAGACTGATATTGACAAGCTGAAATGTGTCCAGAGGAAGATGACTCAAATGATCCAACAGTCTGGAAAACAAGCCCTATGAGGAGCGGCTTAAAGAGCTGGGCATGTTTAGCCTGCAGAAGAGAAGACTGAGAAGAGATATGGTAGCCATTTATAAATATGTGAGGTGAAGTCATGGGGGGGGGGGAGCAAGCAAGCTTGTTTTCTGCTGCCCTGGAGATGCAGAACGCAGAACAATGCCATCACATTACAGGAAAGGAGATTCCACCTGAACATTAAGAAGAACTTCCTGACTGTGAGAGCTGTTTAGCAGTGGAACTCTCTACCCCGAAGTGTGGTGGAGGCTCCTTCTATGGAAGCTTTTAAACAGAGGATGGATGGCCATCTGTTGGGGGTGTTTTGAATGCCATTTTCCTGCTTCTTCACAGGGGGTTGGACTGGATGGCACACAATGTCTCTTCCAAATCTATGATTCTATTTCTAAGTGAAAATATTATTTTATCTAAATAAAAATCTGTATCCTGCAGAGAAAATGGGGAGTGAATTCTATATAGTTCCTTTATACAAGTAACTTCTGGTAGAATCATACCATAGAACAATAGAACTGACTGGAACATCTTGAAAATCCTTAAAGAGAACATATTTTGTCACCTGAGGATAGGTGATACCATAGGTGCTGGTCTCACAGATGGGATTAAGTGGGTATACTCTACTTTCTTTTAGAAAAATGAACAAGGCTAAAATCCCTGCAATCTGTCCATTTGTCATAGACAGCCATGTTACAGAATTATGATAACACATAATGAGTGGTAGACAATGTCCCATTTCACAACAGGCATCACACTGGACAGTGGGATACTATCAAAGGCAGGACT